CCAAGCAGGATCTATTGAATTGACTCTGACATCCAAGGCATAAAGTTTCTTCAAGGGGAATATTTTATCCCATGTGGAACGTAATTCAAATAATCTTTTTCTTGTATTTCCATCCACCTTTTCAAACACACAAGTAAATGTTGCAACTAGATTTTTAGTAAAGGCAGTGACATACTCTTTTCCAATGTTTTTCACAATAGAATCCATAAGGTACATAAGAGGAAGTTTCTCTGAGGAAGGAGCCTTGGCCGTTTGGGCCTCAATGACAGAGACGATTTCCTTGGCGAAGGGCAGGTTCTCCTCAGCTACAATGGTCAGCATATTGATGTGCGGTTTGCTATTGAAAGTCAGGTCTTCCAGTGAAGACTGATAATCGTGACAGATGTCTTCTAGTGTCCCGGCAGCCCCAGCCTTGGCCAGCAGATGCTCTGACATTGTGCCCAGGCAGCACTCCAAGGTCTGCTACCAACTAAGGTGAAGTTGCTGGACACCCCCACCCTTCTGAAGCCTGGGCCTTGCTCCCTGGTTCTCCTGAGGCTGGGCCTTCACTGCATGCAGATGTTGGAGGAAGGACAGGGGACCACCCAGTTGGAACCTCGGGGAAGAAAAGTCTCAGTCTCACCGGGAATCTCTGTCCACTTCCAGCTCTCTAGGAGTATCTGGATTCTGTTAAAGTTTCCTTTCCGGTATAAACTGGAGACCAGGTGTCTGCAGGAGTATCTGGATCCTGTTTCACTTTTCTGCCCTGTATCTGTTCAAGGTGTCATGGCACATTCCTGAGATTCTTCCTGGAACTGAGCACAGCAGGTGGTCTAAGAAGGTGATCCTTTCCCTAAGATGAAACATGTAAGGTCAAGTCTGAGATGGTGGCCCTTACCCTAGGATGGATCCTGTGAAGTTAAGTCTAGACCTTCACACAGACATACACGCATGCAAAACAGCAGTGCACAGTAAATAACAATAAATACATTTTAAAAAATTGGTGGGAGGTCATATCACACACCTTTGATCCCAGCATTTGGGAGGCAAAGGAAGGTGAATCTCTGAGTTTGAGGCCAACCAGCTCTATGGCATGACTTCCAGAACAAACAGGGCTACCCAGAGAAACACTGTCTCAAAGAAACCAAACCAAACAAACACTGAACCATGAAGAGCATCACTATAACCTTGGAGGAGAGAATGGTGCACACCCTGCTTCTAAATGTTTGAGATTCTGTCCTAATATGATGTTGTTTGTTTTTTTGTTTGCTGAGTTTTAATTGAGCTGTAAGTCTTTGTTATGGACAGAATTTAGGATTCCTCTATCAAGTATGTAAAGCCATTAAGCAATTGTGAAAAAAGATCTGTATTCTTCTTTTCCTTTTTAGATGTGCTAATTAACTTGCACTCTGATGCCTTTTTCAACAGCCACTCAAAAATCTCAATTGCATGTAATTAAGAAATTCTAAGCAGTCTTATTAAAATAAGAAACACAAGAGCCAAATAAAGAGGTAAAAGCCTAGAGATAAGAGCAATAGCCAAGAGCCAAGACCACATATTCTTACCACTTGCTGGCGTCTTTCCCCTGAGACACAGAGACCTTCTTCCTGTGCCCTCTCTTTTTATAGCCTTTCTG